CGATTAGCACAACGGACACACTGAGATCAGCGTTTCTACTCTCCGTAACGGAATACAATAGTCTTTTTGACGGTGATGGAGTCTTGTGATTTCTTCTCGGATTTTCTTTGTCTCTCTCTCTCTCTCTTTCTCTCTCTCTCTCTCTCTCTCTCTCTCTCTCTCCCTCTGTCTTTCTTTCTTTTTTTCTTTCTTTCTTTCTTTCTTTTCTATCTCTGTCGTTCTTTCCCTCTCTCCCACGTTTCCATACATAATGCACACACACACACTCTCACACACACACACACACAAACTCACACACACACACAAACACACACACACAAACACATACACACACACACATTCGCGCACTCATTCTTTCGTTCCATTAACGTCTATTTCCCTCTCACACTCAAAGAAAATAGTCCTTAAAATACTTGAGCGTGCCTGTGTGGTAAAATTCAACCCGATGGGGCTTATGATATATTATGGCACAATAAAAGCAAAAGCCTCTCAGCGAAAGAATAGAATGATTTCCAGCTTCCATTACTTGAGAATGAGTGACCAAGACACTCATACCTGTATTGATCCTTTTTCTTGGCACCAGAGACGGAATATGATTCAAGATGAACGAGTTATTCGATGGCTTCGGCATTATGGGCAAAATTCATGATGTCCTCAAAATTGATGACTCAAAAATGTGTCTTCAAAATTGGTGACTCAAAAATGTGTCCTCAAAAGTGGCGAAAGAAATAAAGAAAAAAAAAAAGAAAAATGAACGAAGAAAGAAAACATGCCCAACAAGACTGGAGAATAAAAACGGATTGGGAAATAAGAACGTTTTTTTTCTTCTTGACAATATAAATGTTACTATAGCGTTTGTAACTGTCATACAAATAATTCACGTTCATTTATACAACGTAGCTGTAGTATATAATCTATGAAGACTACATGGTAAAAGTCACACATTGAAAATCGTGAGGGTACCAATTTTGAATGCTTAAAAATTTATTTTTTTTACTCATAGCTGTATTTCTGTCCAACCGTTGGTTGATTATTGTTGTTAGATTTCCCATTCAACAACACTTAACAATACACCACCAGTCAAACAGATATGAAGTTGTGAGTCCTCAAGCCTTTAAAATTGGCACCCTCACAATTACAATCGTTTTTCCCGCCTTTACTCTTAATATGCATATTATTATAAAACACAATACGTTAAATTTCAAACAAGCTGAAACATCAAATAAACTGAAACATTATAACGAAACATCACAGCCACTAGTTTGAACTCTAAGCACACTGGAGTGTTACTTACCTACAATCCAAACACCAGAATAAATAATTGTTGATATGATTCCTGTCTCAATGAAGCAGTAATCCTTTGGAAGAGATATTATAAATATGAGCGTGAGAATAATGGCAGTTCAGAAGCACATTAAATTTTATAGACGTTTCTTGAACAAGAAGCGCGCACCTACTCGCACTTATGATCGATATATCACTCCGTGATTCCCTTCCTGAGATCGATATATACATGTATTTATGTACACCGGCTCTCTCTCTCTCTGTCTCTCTCTGTCTCTCTGTCTCTCTGTCCCTCTCTCTCTCTCTCTCTCTCTCGTGGTAGCGGCTGACAGGTAACTATCTTCTTCTGGCAATCGCGACATCGGGTTCCAGTCGATCAGCCATGTGTAAGACTCCCCCTCCACTCCCCCTCCACTCCCCCTCCACTCCCCCTCCACTCCTCGCACCCTTCGCTTTTTACCTCACCCCTCCCACCCCCTCCCTTTTTTTCTCACTTACAACCTCGTTCCCCCCTACCCCTTTCAACCTACTCGTCCGTTTTTCGCCCCCCCCCCCCAACCGCCCTCGTAACCCTTCTCGACTCTCCCATCTTGATACGGGATCAGACATATCATTATTCCATATTGGCTATCAGGTTAACGCTAACCCCCACCACCCCTCTTTTTTTACGCCTGCGCCTTCCCAAATTTTCCGGGGGGAGGAGGGGGGGGGGGTGATTTTCTTTTTATAACCAAAGGCTAGGTTCTTCTTTTTTCTCCCGGACTTGTACAGAACAAATGTTCCTAAAAGAATATTATCTTTCACGTCTTCGTTCACACTTCTGTTGTGTAATCTTTGTTGTCGTTTTTTAAAGTCCGGTGACATCAGCATATTACCAATACTTTAATTGTATATTTCCCACCATGGATATCTATCTATCTATCTATCTATCTATCTATCTATCTATCTATCTATCTATCTATCTATCTATCTACCTATCTATCTATCTATCTATCTATCTATCTATCTATCTATCTATCTATCTATCTATCTATCTATCTATCTACCTATCTATCTATCTATCCATCTGTCTGTCTATCTACGATATAGTTGTTACACATCAATCCACAAAAAATGATTATACACGTATAAGAATACACAAATAGAAAGAGAGAGAGAGAGACAGAGAGAGAGAGAGAAAGAGAGAGAGAGAGAGAGAGAGAGAGAGAGAGAGAGAGAGACAGACAGACAGAGGAGAGAGAGTGAGAGAGAGAGCAAATCAGACAGACAGACAGACATAATGTCAGACACAAAAGCTTGACATAACAAGAGGTTCATAATCTCCTGGTTAGAGCGATAACCAGCAGCTGTAACGTCAAGTGTCACCCAGGATTATCTCCTGCTCTCGAGACTCGAGAAGTGTTCAGGTTTTTAGTACCAGTAAACATAAATGTGCAACTGGGATATCAAGAATCATATCCATGAGTTACTTCTCGCCATCCAAGAATGGAGATATGGGCTAAAAATCAACACGAGGTCAGATTTATAGATTTTCAGTTGATGCCATTTTGTTCAAGTCTACCGTTTCTTTTATTTTTCCACACTTACAAATTATACGAACACAACCTATAAAGCTGATTTATCAATTTCCATACGGCTACAATCCGAAAGAAGTAACTCATTTTGTCAGCACACCTCACAAATGTGCAACTGTGCTATCAAGTATCATATCCATGAGGAAGAAGGTAACGTGATGAACTTTAAATACGAACCCAGGGTAGGAGAGGAATATATGGACGTGTAAAATGTAGATTTTTTACACCAGCATCGGCCTTATTTCCATCATTAATTGGTCGCTTTCAAGGACAAGCGGGTTAACCCAGATTTCGGGGGTTCCAGAAATCTTGATCAACACCAAAAGTGGGTATTGCCCTACCTATAGGAGAAGTTTGTTTTCATTGGATTGTATATTTTTTTGGTTTTAGAGAAAACTTTCCCTGGTTTTTAAAGATACTGAACAAGGGGCAAAAACTTTACCTTCGATTCTCTCAAACAGCATTTTTGGGGGATAGCTCCCTTGTGCTTAAAAGTGACCAATTAAGAGGCTGGCTTCCGACTCTGGCTGTCAGGACCAACCCGGGCTGAGAAGGATACACCATCCCAATAATAGAAAGACCGAGATACTCGATACAAAGTTTCTCCCCTCTGGGGATCCGAACTTGGGTCTATTGTTTGCGATAGTGACCGCTCCACCATAGACCTCGATGTACGACAGAAGTACTGTGCCGATTAAGTAAAGTAAAAGTTGTTCCCGCATCCGATCCGGACTTTGGGGATTGCCTTGTTAGTGAGACAACTTCCTGGGCCTTCGTCATATTGTGGTAGGGTGGCCAGTTCCTTTCCACGCCGCCTTTACTTCCCCAACTCGAAGTCAGGTACCCATTACTGGTGGGTGGGCAGGAGGGGGCGAAAAAAATCCGTGTCTGAACCGAGGCTCGAACCCGGACTTTCTGTTTCGGAGACGAGCGCACTAACCGCTCCCCCACCGAGCCCGCACCGATTAGCACAACTAAAACTATACAAAAACAAAAACAAACAAACAAACAAACAAACCTCAACATACCTGTCATAATGACCACGTGCAGGGATAGTGCGAGTTTTGTAAACATAATTTCTTACAGTACAAGTTTGTTTTTAGTATAAGACACACTTAAACAATTCTCGTGCTTATCATCATAATATAATAAGTCACGACGTGGTGGAACCAGACGCTCGTCAATTTGTGTGCATATGGGGTCATTGGTATCAAAGAGAACAAAAAGCTCATTAAATGCTTTTTTTTATAGTAGATAGTTTTACGGTGCATAAAGAGTTTTACGACACTTACAACCCAATAAGGTCATATATATAAGTGCCGAAGACAAGAGGTGTTACAAGACAGTAAAAAGTACAAATGAGAAGGAGGGGAGATATAGACGATAGATGTTTGATAGGAAAGAAGAAGCAAACCACACCAGAGCACCCGCCAACCACCCACGATGGAAGAATGTAGGGCAAGAGAGTAAGGGGGTGGACAAAGAGGAACACGGACGGACAATATTAAGGCATGGACTGGCCTGGGTGTGCCAGAACGCAGAACGGCAGCTCGCGACCATGAGTGCTAGGGGGCCATTACGCCTCAACCTCAGAGTCAGAGATGACACCCCCCGAGAAACTCTCATGTAACACCTCTAATCTTCCGCACTTGTATGACCTTATTGTGTTCCAAGTGCCGTAAAACTCTTACTATGTACTAAAACACAACTAAGAAAATTGCCGCTTCATAGCGTCTCAGTGGTGATCCGCGATCTTCTGTCTCTGCTTCATCGGACCATGTTCTGTCCTGGATAGAGATTAATTTAAAGATTGGACTTGTCGGGGCAATGGGCAATTGTTAAATAGCCCATTGAATGAAACAATTGTTGTTGGCTTATTTATGAGTCTAGAGCAGTGGCAAAATAGCCCCAATAATAAAATAGTTGTTGGTTTATTTATGAGTGTAGCACAGTGATTGCCGACCTGGGTACTATCACCCCCTGCTGGGCAGGTTTGTCGCTTTCAAGCACAAGGGGGCAATCCCGAAAAATGCTGTTTTGAGAAAATCGAAGGTAAAGTTTTTGTCCCTTGTTCAGTTTCTATAAAAGACAACGAGAGTTTTCTCTATAACCAAACAAATATACACACCAATGAAACCAAACTTCTTCTATAGGTAGGGCATTGCCCACTTTTGGTGTAGGTCAAGATTTCTGGAAACCCCCGAAGTCTGGGTTAGCCCGCTTGTCCTTAAAAGCGACCAATTGGTATCGTAGGTAGTCGATGGGAATCTCACGGGCTGTGATAGGTACTGTTGAGTGTCCTGCCTGGAAAAACACACATGTGTCAGACAGACAAACAGACAGACAGACAGACAGACAGACAGACAGACAGGCAGTTAAACAGACAGACATACTTAAAAACAGATAGAGAGTTAGGGTGGATAGAGGAGATAAACAGAGAGATATTGTTGATAGAGAAAGAAACAGATAGATAGATAGATAGATAGATAGATAGATAGATAGATAGATAGATAGATAGATAGATAGATAAATAGATAGATAGATAGATAGATAGATAGATGGAGAGAGAGGAGATAGAAGGAGAGAAAGAGAAAGAGAGAGAGAGAGAGGGGGGGGGGTCAAAGAAAGAAAGAAAGAAAGAAACAGAGACTGACATCCAAAGCTATCTCACAAGAGAACAGTGATATCCCAGTCTTGTCTTGTGTAAGATGTGGGTGAACAGGTACACGACTTTGTGTGTGGGTTGGGAGGGGCGTGGGGAGAAGGGGGTGGGGGGGAGGGGAGGGGGTCACATCAATCAGCTGTACAGTATCGTCGTAGTGACCAGCCATCTCGCTTGGCTGAGATTACAGCTACAGCACCCGCTGCTTGACCGGGGATCACCGTTCTTTGTGTCATGACACGGTGGAATCAGGCGCTCGTCGATTTTGGGGCTTGTGGACAGACACCATTGTTGCAACGCAAGACAGAGTGAACTAGAGGTCCATGATCGCCCACGCCAGTCGGCAAGGCATCGGGTGATGATGATGAAGTTATTAGTGTCATCTGAAAGCTTATGAATTTCCCTTGCTTTCAATGAAATAAATAAACATCTATCAGGAATAGACGTCGAGACAGTTGAGATTGAACGAGGTGCTATCGATTGGTTTGAGAGGTAAAATTAGCGAGAAAATAGCCGGCAAAGTTTGTTAACTTTAACAGCTTGAGAGTCCTTGAAAACTGAAAACTTACATATTGTGTGCCATTAATCAACGTTGTTCAGTCAAATTCACGAGATGTGTTTTTATATGGACCTGAAGGTGTTGAGTAAACAAATTGATTGAAAATGGCCAAACTGGTGGGAAAAACGCCTGTTTCTTTGAGTGTTTTGTTATTTTGACGAGCGCCTGATTTCACCACGATGCCTCCCATTTGTTCACTCTCACTTTTATTGCTCTAGCGTGGGTGCGGAACTTGTCAATGTCTGTCCGTTCTTTGATGGTGCCGCCGATTTGAGACCCTCGCACACAGGTGAGGCGATTTCTTTTATCAGAGAGATAGATAGATGGAAGGAGTGGAGGTGGACGGCGAGGTTTTGTCCTCTGTTACTGTCTCTGAACCATGTCGACCGCGGACAATTTCAATGACGTATAAAATCAATCCATATGTGAGGCAGCGTGGTGGAATCAGGCTTTCGTCAATTTTGGGGCATGTAGAGTTATTGGTATCATATCATCTTAAAGCTTGTTCACTTGTCTTTATTTTGATGAAAAAAATATCCATTTATCTTGAATACAAGTCGAGATATTTGCGAACGAAGAAGGTTGGGGTCACCTGTTTTCAGAGATAAAATTAGTGAGAAAATGGCCGCCAAATATTACTTATTTCCTTAACGTTAGAGTCGGTGGTAACTGAAAATTTACATTTGTTCTGCCTTCAATCAACATTTTAAAGAAAAATCCACACAGAAATGAGTTCTTTAATACGCATGAAAGGTGTTGAGCCAAAAAACGAAAATTTGATAAAAATTCACAAACTTGCGGAAAAATGCAAGTTTCTTCACTTTGATTATTTTGACGAGAGCCTGATTTCACCCCGCTGCCTCACATATACCTTTTCTGTCTGTATCGGTTTTGCTGAACTAAAAATCGGGATGTTTGTTAGTTTTAGTAGAGGTTTTACGGCGTTCGCAACTGAATAAGGTCATATGAGCGCCAGGGAAGGTTTGATTTTACTCATTGAAATTGAGATAGAGAATGAGGGGCATACAAGAATACAACATTTCTTCAAAAATTTTAGCTCTAAAAACAGGTGACCCGCACCTCCTTCATTCACAAATATCTCGAATTGTATTCTACAAAATTTGATATTTGTTCATCTTAAACAAAAGAAATGAAAAAGCTTTATTAAGATGATACCAATAACTCCACATGAGGAGCGCCTGATTCCACCGCGTCTTGACCAAAATGAATAAATAATAAATAAACAAATAATCAAATAAATAAATAAATTTAAAAAAAATAAATAGATCGATAAAAAATCCGCTACCAAAAATAGAAACACAAACATAAAGAAGGAGTGGCGGGGAGCGGGGGCAAACCGTCTAAGTAACAAAAGGAAGAAATAAAACGGGAACAAAGGAGGGAACAAAGGCGGTGCCAGACGGGAACAAGACCGCGCGCTAGTTCTGCCTGTAAATACTGTAGTTCTGGCTGTAAATACTTCACTGTAAAGGTGACGTCTGCAACAACACGACACCACGCTCAATCGGCACACAACTGACGTGATGGTAGTGGTGGGCAAAATCCGGATAACCAGATAATTCTCAGTGAAACATTATCCGAATTCAGATTCGTAAACTCTCTTTCCTGACACGTTTGCGGAAGCTGGTGCAATCATTTGTTGACGTGGTTCTTCTAACCTATTTGCCGAAGCGGTTCATACTTTTAACTTTTACTTTTATACGCCGCTTATACCTTTTTGGGTGTTGCGGGAAGAAAGAGACGTCTCTCTGTCGCCAGCCGGAGAGCTTGGGTCAGGGGGATGCCGTGAGTTGTTAGTGTTTCCCCGACTCCATCTATCCAGGTCTTTCTCCGTCGCCCTCTAGCCTTGTTGCCATCGAATTCTTTTATGTAGGCACGTTGTGCTGGGTGGTGTGTTGGTGTTGGATTTGATGCATGACATTTGTGCCCACCATTTCTCTGATTACTGGGTTTCTAATTTTGTCTTGCCTGGTCTAGTTTACTGTTTTTCTAAGGGATCGCATTTCACATGATGTAATTCTTTGCTCTAATGTCTTGTTCGTGGTCCATGTTTGGCATTGATGGGTGAGTGTTGGGATGAATATGGTGTTGATCATTTTGAGTTTTTGTTGTCATGGGGATGTTAGGATGTTTCAGTAGTGGAATAAGCTGGTAACTAACATTATTGGCCTTTTGCACTCGTGTTTCAATTTCTCTGTTCAGTCGCCCTTCCTCTGTGAATATACTTCCGAGGTACTTAAATTCTTAGAGCTGTCTGAGACTGTTGTTGTTGATGTGTATCCTGACTGGTTCTGGCTTTCTGCTTACTTTCATTGTCTTTTTTTAATGTTGATCTTCATGTCGTAGTTGTTACATTCTTTGTTTAATCTGGTGGTGTGGTGTTGGAGACTTCGTTCATCTTTGTGTGCCCGGCTTTGGTCATCAGCGAAGATTAATTCATTTAGGGCGTCTGGTTCTGTGTTGGTCTCTTTTCTAATTCTATCCATGTATATGATAAATAGTAGTGGTGATAGGACACAACCTTGTCTTATTCCGGAGGTGAAGCGGTTCATAACACATTTAATCGCCGAAGAGGTGCATTAACATATTATCCGGATTTTGCTAAAGCCATTCAATGCCCAGCCCTACTTGATGGCTAGAACCCTGTTCCACTGACCCGAGCATTGATCAACCAGAACGTTTATGGGCGACATTATGGTACCTACCCTGAGGTCCCTACTGGGCTACAGTTATAACATAAAACAGTCAGGATACAGAAAATGACCATCCTCTTTAACATATTATCTTTATAGCCTTATTTGATCCACTTTGTGGGCAAAACAATTAGTGATAGTAAGCTACAAATACAGGTGGGCTGGGCTGCAATCTAATTGTGTCACGACGCAGTGGAATCAGACGCTCGTCAATTTTTGGGGCTTGTGGAGTTGTTTTAATCTGAAAGCTTATGCATTTGCCTTACTGTCAATGGAAAAAGTACCCATCTTTCTTGAATAGACGTCAAGATGCTTGCAAAAATTGAAGGAGGAGGGGTCGCCTGGTTTCAGTGATAAGGTTAGGGAGAAAATGGCTGCCAAAGTTTGGTAATTTTAATAGCTTGAGAGTCCTTGAAAACAGAACAGTGATTTATGTTTTGTCTTTAATCAATGCTTTTCAATAAAAATTCACATGGAAATATATTTTTGTATGGAAATACAAGGTGTTGAATCAAAAAACAAAAATTAAGATAAAAATTGTCAAACTGGCAGAAAAATGTCTGTTTCTTCGATTTCATTATTTTGACGAGCGTCTGATTTCACCACGATGCGTCACAATAATTGTAGGTGTTAAAACGTACTGTTATGGTGGACCTAATTGGGATTGGAAATGTTTTACGACCTTCGCCCTTCTAATAAAAAATAAAAAAATAAAATAGAAAATAATAATTTAGATAATTCAGCTGGCTGAGTGTTTTGCTCATGCAACTGGAGCAAACCAAGGATGAGATTATACAACATCTGAGCAAGCAGACGGTCATTATCATCATCGTCATCATCATCATCATCATCATCATCATCATCATCATCATCATCATCATCATCCAGTGCCAGGTCTACGACAGACATCGGCGATCATGGTTCTCCATTCATTCCTTTGCTCGGATTCTCTTTAAAAACCTACCTTTCCCTGATCTTTCCCCGTTACCCATTTGTTTAGGTTCCCTAAGTATGTTGCTCTGGGCCTACCCCTGCCTCGTTTGCCTTCAATTTTGCCAGTGAGAGCTACATGTTCAAGACCTTTAGATCTATGTCTATTCAGGTGTCCCAAGAGCTGCATTTGTCGTTTCCTGATTGTTTTTAACTGTGAGCGTCCCACGTGGGCTTCATCAGGCACTACCTCATTTGATTTCTTTTTTCTTCCACGATAATTAGTCGCTTTTAAGGACAAGCGGACTAACCCAGATTTCGGGGGTTTTCAGAAATCTTGACCTACTCCAAAAGTGAGCATTGCCCTACCTGTAGGAGAAGTTTGATTTCATTGGTATGTATATTTGTTTGGTTATAGAGAAAACTTTCCTTGTCTTTTAAAGAAACTGAACAGGAGGCAAAAACTTTACCTTCGATTTTCTCAAAACAGCATTTTTCGCGAATGCCCCCTTGTGCTTAAAAGCGAGCAATTATTCTCAGCAGTCTCCCAAGCAGACGGTAATCGCTAAAAACAAACAAAAACTCCACGCACTTGGGAATCGAAGTCACCTCGTTTGCGTGCTACGGTGAGGAGCCTAACCAAAGATCGTACATAACAAGAGAGTTCACGTTTACTTGCTAGTTCCGCTTGCTGCACACCAGCCTAAATCTTCAACATTGTTTGGGCACCCGATGAGTAATTGGTCGCTTTTAAACACAAGGGGACTGTCCCGAATAATGCTGTTTTGAAGAAAAACGAAGGTAAATTTTTTGCCCCTTGTTCAGTTTCTTTAAAAGACAAGGAGTGTTTTCTTTATAGTCAAACAAATATACACACCAATGAAACCAAATTTCTCCTATAGGTAGGGCAATGCCCCCTTTTGGTGTAGGTCAAGTTTCTGGAAACCGTCGAAATCTGGGTTAGCCCGCTTGTCCTTAATAGCGAACAATTAAGGTATAGGGAAAATGGTTGGTTGGAAAGGGGGTGGGGGGGGGGGGGGGGGGGGTTGAAGCGAGTAAAGTGATTCAGTTTTAAAAAGTGAAAAAACAACCCCAACAACTAAAGACCCCCCCCCCCCACACACACCTTTAGAAAAACCACCCTATGAACTGCAACCTGTGTGTCGTTTGGTGCTGTGTTGGAACTACGCGCTCCACTTATTCTTTAAAAAAAAGTTATTTCGCATTTGGAGTTCCATTTGGTTTGGTAAATTTGACTTTGAATAAATATAACAAATGGCTCCATATTTTCTAGTATAGTATCTCTTCAATTTGTTTCTGTCTCTGAATTCTTTTCCCTAGCACCACATGACCGTTGCTGTGTCGAAGTTTTTCTCTTTAACTCAACGGACCCCCAACAAAAACAGACCCACGTAGAACTGCTAATAGTTCAGCACGGCAGATACACCATGATATAATATTTGTTAGCGCAATGTCTCCGTCCCAGTGTCTCTTTGCTTATCGTTTCGCCAGGCGTCACTTCGGCATTACCGGCTATTGAACGTGCACCTAAATCGAATTTTGAGTGCAATAGTTAAACGCTTTGTGTCATTCAGTGAGCGACTATTGAATGTACATTTGTGTGTGGCGTTCGTAAGCTGGGAATTGCCTTATCTCAGTCAGACCACGAGGCCGCTATGTGCCAGTATTCACGAAATGTAACACTTACAATTCAAATAAGGCAAATTTTATTTTCCACTAGAAAGGTTGTAGAGCTACTCTAAAGCCTTTTGTTCATCGAGAAGGTTAATTTTTTCCCTTTCTGTAAAAGAAAATAATTATTCATTCGCCTTGCTTTCGAAGAAAAGAATACCCATTTATTTTGAATAGAAGTCGAGAAATTTGAGATTGGAGGAGGTTGGGTCGTTTGGTTTGAAAGGTAAAATTATCGATAAAATGGCCGCAAAAGTTTGATGACTTCCATAGCTTGGGAGTTCATTGAAAGTGAAATATCACACATTTTGTGCTTTTAATCAACGATTTTCAGTAAAATCGAAACATAAATGTGTTTTTCAAAGGGTATGAAAGGGGATAAGCCAAGAAACAAAACAAAACAAAAATTGATAAAAATTGTCAAACTGGTGGAGAAAATGTCAATTTCTTTAAATTCACTATTTTGACGAGTGCCTGGTTTCATATTGAAATGTGACACACACATGTGTCCGATTCGTCTATAATACGTTAACAGTAACTTGTGTCAGTTTCACCAACTCAAAGATGCCATGCAGAAATAGGGCAGAGGAGGGCTCGTCCCATTTTCCCCTCTGTTGTTTCTGTATCCATCTTCCCGTTTCCCGTTCATGAGCTGGTTGTGATCATCTCGTTGTGTTCATACGTCGTTGATCCCAACAGAATTCTTGATGTTATAATGGCCATTGGCCTTTACGGAAAATTGTAAATACGGTTATTTTTATATTAAGCAGGTTATCATTTTTAGATTGTTATTTTACCTCAACTTTTTAACATTTTAAAATCTGATTGTTGACCCGAGCCAAGCTATGCAGTGAACTGTTGTGAATACAACCAACTTGTGTTTCTCGCGCTCATATGACCTTATGCAGTTGCGAGCGCCGTAAAACTCTTTCTAAAACAAAACCATAAAAGGAGATGTGCATTGAATTTGATGATTGTGTTTCTGAAATAACATTACTGTTTCGTTACCGAACCTTAGAGGTACCAAAGAAAAACGGAAAACATACAAACAAAAACGGTCCAAAATTGATACCTAGACCCCCGCTGAAAATCTAATCCCATGGTGGCGTGAATCTTTCGCTCTACTTACAATACACAACGGGCCTGTGAAAGGTGCGCCTTATTGCGCATGCCACAGGGAAACAAGTTATTCAGACAATACTAACCATAAATTAGAGTATTGAACGAGTCGTACGTAAGCTCTTATGCAGCCCCACTTCCCTTCATTCCTTTTATGAGGTAATTCTTTCCGGTGTATTCGCCGTTTATTGGTGTGAAAGCAAACACGTATGTATCAATGGGCAAATCAAACGAAGTCAAACTGGTATCGATTGAGAGAGAGAAAGAGAGAGAGAGAGAGAGAGAGAGAGAGAGAGAGAGAGAGAGAGAGAGAGAGAGAGAGAGAGAGAAAGACTAGGGTCTTTTTAGCTCATGGCACTACACAAATTCTATATTTTCATAATCCAAGGGAATGGGGGTAAGTAGGCCGTCTTCTATAGCTATATATACGGATCAGTTGCTTTGAAGCTCACCACATGGCACTCAAACCTGGTCCACAGAGTGCAAACGGCTTCACATGGTAACTTTCCTTTGATTTCTGCCATTACTACAATCCCACACGTCATAAAATACCAGGATCAATAAAAGAGTGACATGTTACGACGTTTTGGACAGAATCCAGTCTTTGAAGGGAAGGTCGTATGCTTCGGGAATTCATAACTTCTGGATTGTGAAGAGGAGGGCTGTTGGTAGGTGTGCATTCCAAGTTTTTTGTTTTTGTTGTGATCAGATTGTTAAGAATGACACAGAGAAGCTCATAATGGTTCGTTGATGAACGTGTTTTGAAACGAAACGAGTTGGAGAGAGATAGATAGATAGATAGATAGATAGATAGATAGATAGATAGATAGATAGATAGATAGATAGATAGATAGATAGATAGATAGATAGATACGGTGTCTTTGGTATCATCTTCAAATAAGAGATGTATGCGTTTGGAGATATTTACTCTTTTTTACATCTTCACATACACTCTCTTTCTCTCCTTTTCTTTCTCTCTGTCTCTCTGTCTCTCTCTCTCTCTCTCTCTCTCTCTGTTCCTCTCTGTCTCTCTCTCTCTTTCTCTCTCTCTCTGTCTCTCTCTTTGTCTCTCTCTCTGTCTCTCTTTCTGTCTCTCTCTCTTTTTCTCTCTCTCTCTCTTTCTCTCTCTCTCTCTCTCTCTCTCTCTCTCTCTCTTATCGCCTTGCAGTCTTTTATGTGAAATATCATCAGACACAAGACTCAATGTATTGATTACCAGTTAATTGTTTATTAAGTCCCTTGTACGCTTCAAACAGAGACCTCAGACCCTACAGGAAAGATCCCCTCCCGTACAAAAAAGAAACATAGAAAACAACAAGAGAAACGACGAGAATTAGGTACCCCTAAATTATCTAAAACGCATACACGTCTTATGTAACCCATGCATAGTTAGTTTAGTAAGACTTTTACATCGCACGCAACTACATACATGTACTATGGTTACTTGAGCGCGCAATCACAAGTTGGTTGTACAGTGTATTCACGATATTTCATAAAACGGCTAGGCTTTACTTTATGGTAAGGTTAAGCATATCATGCCAACCGCCCACACAAAGCTGTATCATGTATTAGAAGATCTACATCCTCTTTGTCTAACGTCTATACAAATCAACACCATGTATACTGCTGTAAGATCTACTTTCTCTATGTTTACCGCCATGACAAAGCTCACGCATGCTGCTGCAAGATCGTCTGTCAAGACTCAAAATATCGCCTAGACAAAGCTGTATCATGCAAACGGCTCTAAAATCTACTTCTACTGTGTCTATCGCCCTGATAAAGCTGCATTATGTATGCTGGTGTAAGATCTACTTCTTCTATGTCTACCACAAAAAGGTGTATCATGTACACTGCTCTAAAATATACTTCCCTATGTCTACCCCCCATGGAAAGCTGTATCATGTATACTGCTGTAAGATCTACTCCCTCTATATCATGCACACTGCTGTAAGATCTACTCCCTCTAGATCATGTATACTGCTGTAAGATCTACTCCCTCTATATCATGTATACTGCTGTAAGATCTACTCCCTCTATATCATGCATACTGCTCTAGAATCTTCTTCTACTATGTCAACTGCACAGATAAAGCTCATGCACACTGCTGTAAGATCTACTCCCTCTATATCATGTAAACTGCTCTATAATCTTCTTCTACTATGTCTACTGCACAGATAAAGCTCATGCACACTGCTGTAAGATCTACCTCCTCTATGTCATGCATACTGCTCTAGAATCTTCTTCTACTATGACAGCTGCACAGATAAAGCTCATGCACACTGCTGTAAGATCGTCTGTAGAAGGTCAAAAGTCCGCCCCCAATCACAACTTGAGGACGAGCCCTTGTCCAGGCTGCAGCGTGAGAGAGTCCAGGGAGACGGTGGAGAACTTGTCCTGGGCACTGGGGACGTTGCCCGTGGTGGCGATGACCACACCGGTGGGCGAGTTGACCGCTCCCTGGCTGTA